AAAGGATGAATACCCAACTTTTACATCAACATGGATGGGACTGGAGGAGATTATGCTAAGTGAAATAAGTCAAACAGAGAAAGACAATTATCATATGGTTTCACTTATTTGTGGAACATAAGGAATAGCATGGAGGACATTAGGAGAAGGAAGGGAAAAATGAAGGGGGAGGAAATTGGAGGGGGAGATGAACCATGAGAGACTATGGACTCTGGGAAACAAACTGAGCGTTTTAGAGGGGAGGGAGGTGGAGGGATGGGTTAGCCCAGTGATGGATATTAAGGAGGGCGACACGTATTACATGGAGCACTGGGTGTTATAAACATGAATCATGGAACACTACATCAAAAACTAATGATGTACTGTATGGTGACTAACATAACATAATAATAAAAAAAAGAAATATCACTCACTTGATAAAATCTTCAGCTGATATTTCTAAAATTATACTCACTCAGACTAGGCACCTCCTCATACTAAAGCACAGGTGTCTGCTACTTACCTGGACTCTGGCCTTGGAGAAATCCTGTCCTTCACTCCACAGCTCTTTTCCTTGCTCCAACTGGAAGGATCTTTTGCAAATCTTATTCCATGTTTGTGGAGGAAAAAGTGTATATGGACTTGAGTTCTGTGCAGATTAACCTTTGCTATCACCAAGTCCAGGGTGGGCTTTACCAACGATGAATAAAAAGATGATTTGAAGGTCAGCCCATGTAGCAGCACCTTCAACAGAGAATAAATTGAAGTTCCTTCAGCAGACCAGGAGGAAATCCAGGCTGGAGGCCAAAATGGTAAGGACTGCTAGATGCCGATGCTCATGCACAAGTTCAGAGAAAGAATGCAGAATCATCAGTCTTTTCAAAATGGGAAAGACTAAATGTCTCCACAGTGGGTTAAAAGTTATTTTCAAACAGCATCCCATAAACATAACAGCCGCAAGAATAATAAAAATTATGTTATTTTCACAACTCTAATCTCAAGCCTCCACATAATGAGGAAAACAGAATCATTATTTCTAAGATATTTAATCAATCTATTTATGAATTAAAATAACCATTGAGTTTCCAATTCTGTTCTCAATGCTAGAGACTGAGTAGCAAGAAAGGTATGAAATTGTGGTCAAGTTTACATTCTTGTGTGATGAAAAGCATAATGTGAAGAAACATCTTCTTCTTAAGTAGTTATAAGGGTTGTAAAAGAATCAGGACAGCGATTGGAGTGGGATATGGGGGAGCTGTTCTATACATTCAATGAGTGAATGAATGGAAACAAACATGTTGGCAGACTTACCCAGAAAGACCAGATGACTGATATTCTCCAGCATCACATCTCTGAACAGCTTTTGCTGGGATATGTCCAGCAGGGCCCACTCTTCTTTGGTGAAGTCTATAGCTACATCTTCAAACATCACTGATTCCTAAAACATCATGGAGATTCCATTTAGACAGAGCATCCAGAGGTAGGAGGGTTGAGATGACAGCACTGAGGATGGAGGCAGAGGAGCCGGGTTTGTAGAAAGATCAATATACGTTTGGGGCTTCCTGTCAAGTCATTGTCAATGCTGAACTAGTATCTGCCTTTGGATACATTTACGGAGATCTACACACTCTGACTTCATAATACTTTATTATAAAGCAATATCACACGAAGTGTGGCATAATACAACGTGGACATGTTTCAGTAACCTGGTGATCAGAACTTCCAGACAGGTGATTATAAAATATTTGCTTGAAAATTCATAACTAAAACTCTCTTCCCCATTAATTCCAAGTAACTCTACAGATCCATCATGAGACAAATAATAACCATGGTGTACTGTCTTTAAGCCATAATCATTGGTTTAAATTATTCCCTAGGTGAACTTCTGGTTCCTCATCTACGAACTGGTTTAATATGTTGTGAATGTTAAAAGATCCAAGGCCTTGATCTAGGGAGTGTTTCCTGTCTAGCAAACCTGCATTAAATATAAAACATTATCATTAAAATATCAGAAAACCTTGAAAAAATTGCCAGCGTTACTCAGAACTGAGAAAGATTCATAGATGTCTCTCTTAATGCTACATGACTCGGGTGTTCATAACAAACTATAAGGTCAGATGGCTCAGCAGCACAAGCCAGGGACCTCTGAGATGGATGTACTGAAGGACAGTCCTAGCCTGACCATTCCTGTGTTATGAGGACTCTCATTCTCAATATTCTCTGGGACTTCAGGCACCAGTTATCACTGTTTCTCTTGTATCTTTATTTTGTCTCCATGCGAAAGGATAAAGACCTCATGACTGGTTTGAGTCTATCCAGTTTTTCAAAAATTTACATGGGAACCTAATTTTATTCTTCCTACCATACTCTTTTTCCTTTATGTGTAGTGCAATTAAGAAAATACTACTCCCTACACATTCCTTCCAGTTATCAAATATGAACCAAAGGTTAATTACTAAGAGGTAATACATGTGACTGGGGACAAGCATGATAGTGATAATTTCAGTTATATTTTTTAGAAATTTTCAAAAGTGCAAATTCTAATAATTGTATGGGGTTTAAAATTGAGAAAAACATAAAATGATTCTTCCTTCCTTCTAAACCTCTCTCCTGTTCCTCTCAACACTGAGCAGTGCTCACACCAGGTCTTGTAACACTAGATTAATTATACTCACATGCTGAAACATCTACTTCCCTACTGGACTATAATATTTCCCTCACTCATCTCCAGCACTTGCAATCACCACCATCCTAAGCCCATTGCATCCAAAAAACATGGTTAATGAGTTGAATTATTTGCCAGTGAGGTCATGGGCTGGATGAGGGAAAGAAAACTTCTCTTATCTCTTCTGTAAATACACAAGCTTAATGGAAGCTATCATAAATTTGCATGTTAGGAAGGAGATTAATTATCAATGAGTTCCTGACAGATGGTAACTATTCCAGAGTCCAGGAGAACTTAGCACACAGATGCCTGAACCCCACCTGATTGCACTTAGAATATACATGCCAATAGGAAAAACTTGCCCATCTGATTGGCACTAGGGAGTTACTTCAGCAGAAAGAGGTTTCCCTACTCACTGGTGACTGCATTGTCAGTAACTCAGTTGTCAGGTATCTTTCTCTGGGTTTTCGCTCAGACAATCCAAGCACTAAGTGGGCAAAGCTGAGGATAGAGAAAAGCCATGAGACTCCCGTCCTGTGCACAATTTCCAGTCTCACCTGTCATGAAGCCCTGAAACTTCACCTGGGGAACACCCCCAGCCCTACAAAAACTGAAACAAGTGGTGCACTCTAAGAATAGAGTGCAAGAGGTCGCTCCTATCCCAGGGTCAAATTTAAGAAGGTTATAAATGTGGTTGAAAATAAAGAAGGTCAAAATACAGATATCTTACAAATCAGAACATAATAAGCATTGCATTTTGTATATTAATCAGCCTATGGCATCCCAAATTATTTAATTCCCTCCCTGATTCCAAAGCATAGTGATCCCCAACTCATGCCACATATAGGGTTTGGTTTTTACCTGAAGATGAATGCTGTGGAATTTCTCAGATTTCGTTATTCTTGCCTTATTTACTAGCAATGGTTCTCCAGTATCCATAGCAGCCCTCTGAAGCCTAACTCCCTTCCTGCTCTTGGGTCCCCCATATACTTGAATATCAAGCAACTAAGAATCTACTTTATGATGGAGTTAATCAACTCAAGACCTTTTATAAATTATCTTCACCCCTAACATCAGTAATAATTTAATGTATTTCATGGACAAATAACGGAAATGCATCATGAACAAAGGGATAATTAACTCACCCATTTGTCCCTGAGGCCCAGGAGAAAAAGAAAAGTTAAATTTGCACTAAATGTGTCTGTGTACTTACATGTTTATATGTATTTGCCAATTTAATCACCACAATGACCATGCTAATTATAATCTGTTGGCCAATTTAACAAATGACCCAAGCAGAGGTTTCAAAAACTTTAGTAATGTGACAAAGTTACACAGCTAGAAAATGGAATAGCTCTCTTTAATTTTAACTGTCTCCTAGGCGCAAATTCCTCTAAGGTAACACAGCACACCTAGGCTTTACCTGGAACAGTACCACAGAACATGAATCATCAGAAGCACCATGTTACTACAATGTCTTTTTCTCCTTTGAATTTTTACAAAAGATCTCCTCATCTCCAGCTTCTCTACCACATGGGAATGACCAGAGTATTGACCCCACTTCCCAAACACCATAATCTCTCTTCATATTTATTGCCCGCATTTAATCTACACTTTCTCAGTCCAACACACATTTACCAAGACCACCATATTTTCTTGCCTCTTGAGCTATCTATTGCATCTGCTCATCAAAACTCAAGTAACAGCTCCCCTTCTATGACTGCAGCAGAAAGCACATGGTTAAGATGTTGATCCCAGTCTAAGCACATAATCACTGCTCCAGGTGGCCTTCTGTGATACCTAGCATTTTATTATGCTGTGCTAAGAGTAATAATAATAATTATTATTCCAGTACCAGTAGCTGGGCGGCATAGCAACAGAAATTTACTTTCTCATTATTCTGGAGGCTAGAAGGCTGAGATTAAGATGTATACAGGGTTGGTTTCTTCTGAGGCCAGTCTTCTTGGCTTTCAGACAGCTATCTTCTCCCCCTGTCTTCACATGGACTCCCTTCTACATGTGTCTGTGCCCGACTTTCCAGTTATATTGGATTAGGACCCTTCCTTACCTCTTTTTAAATTACCCCTTTAAAGAACCTATCTCCAAATAAATTTATATGCTGATATATTCGGAGTAACAAACTACAATGTATGAATTGGGTGAAGGGAGAGGCACACAATTCAGCCCATAACACAGATGCATTATATAATAGGACAAGACAACTCAGTATGTATCACTACAATATCTACCTGTCTGCATTCATATCCACTGGTTATTCCTTTTCTCCTATTAAATTAAAAATTTTGCTACCCCTGGCTATGTCCAATGTCTACACAATTGAATTCCTTTCTCTCCTTTTTTGGGGGAACTACATTATTGATTTAAATTAAATGTCTTTTGAGAGAAACCTCCCCATACATTCACAATCAATCCCCTCCTATGTCTCCAGATACGTCCTCTGAAAATGTTTTCTCCCTGCTGTCCCTCACAATCAAACTGGAAATGCAGTTATCAAATTCAAGCAGATATAAAAGAGAAGTCCCAGAGTAATGCAAAGATCTACAAACTGCAGAAATGTATCCAATATCCAGGGCAATTCACCATCCTCTATACACACCAAATTGAGTGTGCATAGAGACACTCTATAAATGCACTTTAGTGATTGAATTATCCAGAACACATGAGAGTATCCAAGGAGGGAGAATGTAGAAACACTAATTAAGAATTGACCTTGGGATTATGTTTGGTTTTGAGTTCAAGGAAAATTCAGAGTGGAATGGAACATAACTTTTTGCTCTTAGAATGTTTCTTTTATAGAAATAAAGGAATATTGGGGCGCCTGGGTGGCTCAGTCGGTTAAGCGTCTGCCTTTGGCTCAGGTCATGATCCAGGAGTCCTGGGATCGAGCCCCACATCGGGCTCCCTGCTCAGTGGGAAGTCTGCTTCTCCCTCTGCCCCTGCCCCTGCCCCTGCCCCTGCTCATGGTCTCATTCTCTCTCTTTCTCTCTCTCTCACTCTCTCTCTCTCAAATAAATAAATAAAATCTTAAAAAAAAAAGGAATAAAGGAATAAAAAAGGAAAAAAAATAAAGGAATAAAAAAAATGGGGATGTAAATCCCCATTTGATATTCAGGGAACCCTTGTGCATATGCTACTCTTAAGGAGTAGAAAGCAAGAATGTACCTAGGCATACCTGTGCTAGGTCTGTGTTTCCAAGTAGTAGGCATCAAAGGAGGTCACTGAGTAGGTTTTAACTGGTACCTAAAAAGCAGCCCCCGCAGAGCTTAGGTTATGGAAAATACCAACCAGGTCCCACAAACTCTCCATACATCCTGTGTTTAATAGCCATCATTTTGAGACAGGGACATTTTCTGCTATAGCACAACACTGACATGTATTTATCTCCAAAATACTACCTTGAATTGATGTTATTTAAGGAGGACTAACCTGAATAATAATGACCTGGAAAAAAATGCAGTAGCTTTTAAAAAGGCTAAAGTATAAAATAAGTCAGATTGAAAAACTAGTTGGAGATCATTATTCAAGGAATCCTTTGCCTTTGAGCCAAAGAACATCACTTAAGTTATCCAATAATTTTAGGAATGAATTGATTACAATTTACTAAAAGCCTTAATTAAAAAGACTTCAAATCAGAATTATAAGAATGAAAATGAGATTTTAAGACAAATGAAAGAGATTTTAAGACACGAGAAGAAAGAAAAATGACCACAGAGTTCTAAAGCTTCCAATAGGAAAATGAAACCATGTAAGAG